AAATCCCGGGTAATCCAACACTTAGGGCTGCTGAAGCATGGACTGATTACGCCAAATAACTTGGCAATAGCCGTTCTGATGTCCCTAGTCTTTGTCGGTGATCGTTATCCTCATCTGGCTCTGATGATGGACTCGATTTAAAGTCCGAAACTTGAGACTGGTAAACCTTTTTTTCCGCGAACACATCTTCTCTGATCACTTCTCAATGCTTGATTGCCCATAGCTACGTGACCTTACGAATGTCTTTTAGTCCTGGAGAATTAAGTTGCAAGCAAAGCGTGTGCTTCAGTTCCGTGCTAAGGATAGAACGCTACACGCCACTCTCATTGGATTAATCACAATTCCACCCAATAAGGCAATGCCCTATGTTTCCAGTGCAGCAGTTAAGAGTGCTTGGGGATCATCAGTAGGGGGACTGGACCGAATTTTTGTTACTTTAACCAATCCTCATACTCTCGAGGCAAGCTATTTGTGGCTATTAACGCAATCTACATCTGTAAGAAGACGGAAGTAAGATGAGGATTAAAAACTTGATTTTACAACGACTTATTCAGAGTTTCATCTGCACAAAAGGACAATGGCAAATCAATCAATCAGTGAACCTATGTAGTGTCTCAGAATAGGTTGCCCGTTCGCGATTCCCACAAACCGTCCTAGGAAAATCACATATATGTGTATATTGTGAGGAAGACGTTAGGCATTGCTCGTAACATTATGCAATGTATGTTGGCCATGCTATTTATTTTGTCAGCAGCATTCATGACTGCACGGGTATGCTTATTTCATGATCTTCATAGTTTAAAACCTAGAAACATTTCACAGATCGAAATATGTTCTTCTTCACATATACAAGCTGAAGGGGACGCAATTTTCTACCACATGAGTACAAGGAAGGAATATATTCGTGTATGTTTTCTATGAAACATAATTGAAGGTACAAGGGTATTGTAACGAAATTAGAAAACATTACACCACATATGTAGGCATCTTTTACAGATTATAGGTTCCACAGGCTGCCGAAAAGAGGCTTGTTCAAAAGACGGCGTCTTCGCATGACTGAAATATCTTAGAAGTAGCCTGCACGATATCACAACCTTACATATGTAAACTTTTTGAAACGAAACCGCATTTGATAATTTCCATTCATATATTTCAAAAGGTAGCAAACCTACTGTAACAGCGTAAAATGGAACTAGTTTATGCTGTGATATCAGTCGGATTGATTTACTCGCATCCTCCTGTGAAGACATCCCTTTACAGGTTTCTTCGCCAAATTCTTCTTTAAATGCACGTATGCTAGCAGAATCACATTGATGAAGATTTTCTGTCCTTCAGATAGGTACTCGCCTGGTTGCAACTTCTGTCTAGCTAATTGAAAGGTTTTTGTTCTGGCAAAACAATGGGGTGTTCCGCAACC